CTTCACATGACCATGTGTCATCGTCAGGCAACGGATAAGTCCACCCCGCAAAGTCCTTGCCGTCCCTGTTACCCACATTGTCCGGGTGGTGGTGTGGCAGCGGCATCAGTTTTTCGCCTCTTCGTGGGATCGTCAGGGTCTTGGTTTGGCCTCTTCAAGAGTCCATGGAGTTGGTTTTTCTGCTCCTCAGTGAGCGAGATTCCAAGGCTGTGCACAAAGGATTCAACGGCCATGGGGATTTGTTCCGGCTCTGCGGAACCAGGCGTCAGCTCGGTCGGAGCCGGAGTCTGGTTGATGGCCTTCATGTAGTCTTGCGAGAGCTGATGGAGGGCTTTCTGGCCGTCAGCCAGCTTGGTTTGGAGGTCCTGCATGTCTGTGAGCAGTGCGGCATATTGGGCCTTGACGCCATCGATCTTCTCCTGAAGTTGGTTCTTCTTGATTGACATGGCTTTCAACTCCGTCACCTGTCCTTTCAGCTTGGTGGCTATTTCTCTTTCGGTGCAGGGCTCTGGTGCTGTGAGCTTGGTTACAATCTGCTGGACCTGAGGGGGCAAGGCATCCATATGGGACTTGAGGATGTCTGTCAGCTCCGGCTCCTCAGGCTTGCTAGGCCCAATGCCAAGCGCTTGCAGCTTTGTCTGTGTTTCTTCAGGTAGCACTGACCAGCTCGTAGTGAGGAGATCTGTGGCCTCTTTCTGCACCTTAGTCTTCTTGAGGGGCTTGATCTTGGAGAGTCCTGGCGGGGAGTCTAGCCATGTGGTGTGTGCTTGACTCCGGTAGGCTGGTCGTCCAAAGCCCTTGCCCTTCCCTGTGGCAGGCGCTGGTGATGGCCACCAGTTGCCACATCGACGGCATTTGCTGCCGGTCTTCACTCGATCGGTCCAGATCCAGTTGTTGCACTCTTGCTTTGAGCAGGTCATGTATGCCCGCCCCCATTGTGGTGACATAGTGCCAAATGAGGGTCACGGTAACCTGTCAAAGGCAGTGTTGTTGGCACAGGTGGTGGCACCGATCACGATCAGGCCTGGAAGGTTCGTTACCAAGTAGGGATAACGGGCAAAGAGGTAGGTGATCTTGTCCTGAAGGAGGGTGGTGTTCAAGGCGAGAAACTGCCAGCCACCGTAGGTCAGGTCAAGAGCGGCAGTGGAGTAGTCGAGAATTGCGAGCAAAGGAATCCAGTGACGTACAGGACCTTCCGGATGTCTGTGGCTTAAGCCTGTATCCGGATTGGTATGGGACCGGCTCGAACCCTCACGGCCTTGAGCCATGTATGTATGTATGTATGCATGTACGTATACACATATATTGTCAAGTGCTGTCATGTCACACCTTTTTTCTGCTTGAAACTGAGATTGTTTCAGGTTCCTCACAGTCTCAACCTGGTTCGCTTCACGGCAGGTGTTGGAAATAGAACAACTAGATTATTAAGTGATCGGGCTTTTGCAAAAGTATTTTTTGCTCGTTTGGCGAAACGACTAGACTTTGTGATCCTCATAAACAAACGGGCTTACCCGTGGGGTGCCTGATCCTGGAATGACAAATTCAAGGCCCCCCGCCTGTGGTAGAGAAAACTGCTCTTGAGCTTTACATAATCAATCACTCAGCCATCTCAAATAAAAGACCCTGAGCACAGATGTGCATGCATTTTAGCTTTGCAAGTTCTTGCACCCCACTCTTCACATCCCTAAATCCAGACCCACAGGAAAAAATAGACTCCCTGTTCAAGCTGACAACATGATGAACACTTGATTCTGTAAAGACAGTCGGCTGAACAAGTTAGACAAAATGCAGAAAATGCGTGATCTGGACTAGATGCCTCACTGCAGCGCTATGATGTCATTTTGTAAACATGTTCGTGTATATATAGGGGGGGAGCTTTGATTTTGTAAATGAAACTTCAATTGATTACCTGAGAACTATTTACAAAATCAAGGTCATTATATAGTGTAAGAACACCTTTTTGTCTCAACAAAAGCAACCAATGAGAAAATCAAGCAAACGCACGCCACCCAATATCGAGATTCTTGCGTCCAAAGAGTCAAAAATCCTGTTCAGGCCCTGGGCAGTTGGACGTAATGGCCACCAAGATCCAAAAGTATGCAAAGTTGCCCAACCAGGCCTTTTTTTGGACATTCTTGACATCTACTTGCTGGGCCAATTGTGCAACAAAGATGTGGCTATTGGTGTGCACACTAACAAGGGCACACTGGAACCTTTCACAATGGAGCATGTCTTGGAAAACAAGATCCATGAAATGTGTGGGGAAAGAGTTGGTCTGGCCGACGAAGATCAAGTTGTTCATAGATCTTCCAATAATGCGTTGTTGTTTCTTTCATGCAACGCTTCCTAGTTGCCTGCCGGTGTCAAGAACCATTGGGCACCTGCCTTCTTCAAGCAGCAGTTTGATGAAGAAGATTGGAAGACTGTGACAGAGCTCAGCCAGCCAACACAAAAGAAGTTGGACATGGCCGGAACACATTTGCAGCGTATCCAAACCTTGGTGAAATAGATTTTCCAGAAGATCCTGACCTTCTTCGATCTGAACAAAGATCCCTTGTTAGAGCAGGTTGCAATGTGCTAGAATTCGATTGATTTCAGGAAGATGCAGAATCTTTGGACATAGGTTTCTTTGAGGTACCAGGAGATGATGACTGCATGATCTGCGACAGCACCTTTCCTATAGTTACAAATCGAGACACCTTTCCTATGCGCCACAAGATCACAGCAGCCAGCCTAGACAGAGCAAAAACGAAAAATGTCAAACACATTAGGATCCGTGTCCACAACTTCATGATACCCCATTGGGTCGACGTCTGATTCGGTAACCAAACGGTCTTCGCTTTTAGGGGCAGCGCGATACACTCCGCTGTAAATACAACGATCAGGAGACTACGATGGAGAAACCAACCGATTGTTTTCAACCATGTGCTGCTTAAACCCTTTGCAGCCACATGGAACGTTATTATCTTGGCCATCGCTCTATTCAGGCGTATGCTGCAAATACAAACATATTCTTGTCTTACTTGAATGAATGTAAAAGCCCTTTCCCACCACATCGAATGTTATTATCTTGGCCATGGCTCCCCCCACCCCCCACCCACCCACCCCACACTCCTCCTGCCATCCACTCTTCATATGATATAAATACAAACATATTCTTACTTGAATGAATGCCAAAACATGCAAAAACCCTTTGCGTCCACATGGAGCTCATGGAACGCCATTCAGCCATTTGCTGTATACATACAAACATATTCTTACTTGAATGAATGTTAAGACCCTTTGCATCCACATAGAACGTTATTATCTTGGCCATGGTTCCCCCCCACCCCCCATCCCACACTCCTCGTGCCCTCCACCCCATTGCGACCATCGTCTGGGTTTGTCTGACTTGGTTTCTGCACCGGCTGTTTTGGCTTCTGAATCGGGACTCGCTTGGTTTCTGAATCGGCCTATTTGGTTTCCGAATCGGCTCATGTGGTTCCTGAATCGGACCATTTGGTTTCTGAATCAGACTGCCTTGGTTTCTGAACAGTTGCTGAATCGTCCCTTTTTGGTTTCTGAATCGTAGTTTCTGAATCGGCTATTTTGGTTTCTGAATCGTAGTTTCCTGATCGGTTGGTTTCTGAATCGGCAAATGTCCAGGACACCCACTCTCAGCACACCAAATTGCAAAGTCCTTACATTTTCAAAACCCCCAGTCTGATTTTCCAACAAAAAACACCTGTACAAATCAGCACTGATTTTGACACCCTAGGGTGTCTGATTCTGGACGGGTCTTGCTTTAGGGGATACTTTGTGTGCAATTATTCTGATTGATCGTGCAATTTGAGGTAGACAAACCATGACTTCTGACAAGAGAGCTAGAAAGCCAAGTGGTCAAGCAAGCAAGCGCTATGTGCCTCAAACAAGGAGGAGTACACACACACAACACACACACACACTCACATGCGCAGCGAAGGACGTTCTTGCGAGGTCCGACAATTGCCACAACTTCAAAGCAAAAGGGACTTACGCAATGGGCAACCATGTACTATTTTGCTCCTTCAATCACAAATGGGTCTGACAGCACAGCTCTGTCGGTTGTCCTGTTGGGCAACCTATTGCCCCGAACGTGCCAAACTGCAAACAATATTGTTGGCCATACGAGGCCAAGCGATCAGCGACGCGAGAGGCCAAACTGGGGCTTTAGCAAGCCATGAGATTCGACATGCATTGGCCAAGTGAAACCAAGCATGCTGAAAATGCTGGGCATGCAGCTTGGTAATGCTTGGTGTGCCAACTTCTTTGCGAACAGTTTCTTTAGACCTTCGTGACCTTCGTGCCAATACTGGTGAATGCTGACCATTGTCAAGGAACGGACGTATATATCTCTGATTTTCTTGGAGATCCTTCCGAGTCACTCAACTTGACCGTCTTAATGTCATTCATGCAGCAGCAAAATTGGAAGCTGAGTGCCGCTCCAAGCTACTATAAGCAAGGCCTTGCTTGGCAGATTTATGCACAGAGATCTGTCTGTTTTGGTACACTGAGATGCTCACGCCAGCCACTGCTGGACCTCGCCCACGCCTGAATCTCAACTGGTTTAAGAAGGGTTCCATACGCAGCAAAATATGTGTCCAGCCTTCCTGGGCAGTTCAAAACCACCATTGGGACCGCTTGATCTTCAAAATGGCTGGACAAGCCGAAATGTCACTGGTGGGCTATTCAAGCATCTTCGGAATGCAAACCTTGAGTCTAAGCCTAAGCAGGTCTTTCCATTTTCCCAGAATCCAGGCTTCGCAACGAACATGTAGTAACAAGAACTGATCTCTTTAAGAAAAACTGATTCCAACAAACTTCCTGGTGTCTGTTTGGATTGGTAGGCTGCCAATCATCTAAAAAACGACTGTGTCTTTCAGTCAGTCTTCGAGTATTATGGTCTATTCCTGGTGTATACTGGGTATGCGACATCCTACAGCGCAAACCAGGAGGAGGACATGAGATGCAAAGGCCGATGCCTTGTAGTATGCACCTGCGTTGGCATCTTGCGGCATGTTCCGGACCCTTTGAAGGGCAATCTCAACCTGCCACGACACAGGCCAACTGGGCTAACTCCCGAACTTCAAATTGACCGAGCTGAAGCTCCGCCGAGCTGGCGGTGGGCAAGTAAGAACGGAAGCTTGCTCGATTCAGAGGTCGTCCGAGCTTGACCATCTCCATATGAGCTCCAAAAAGGAGGCTGTGCACCTCGGAGTGTGAAACCTTAAAAACTCCGTGGATCTTGAAACCACAGAGCTTCCAATATGCCTCCATAATGGACAGCAAATCAAAGGCATCCTTTTGAGCCTGGAATTGGACAAGCAGTGGACTGCTCAAGTCACATCGAAGCAATTGAGTCCTGCCTCAATATAGTAGGATCGAGCAAAACTTCCCACAGCCTCTTCAATTTTGCCCCTGAGGCCGTTGTGACATTTTGCGGTGCACTTGAATCAAAGATGGAGCCCACGAACCCGAATGCAAACACGAGCTACATATGTCCAAATGACACTCTTGTAGGACACTCTTGTGGGACACTCCTCCGGGACACTCTTGTCGGACAGTCTTGTAGGAAACTCTTGTGGGACACTCTTGTGGGACACGCTTATAGGACACTCTTGTGGGACACTCTTGTGGGACACTTTTGTAGGACACTCTTGTGGGACACTTACGGGACACTCTTGTGGGACACTCTTGTAGGACACTCTTGCGGGACACTCTTGTAGGACACTCTTGTGGGACAGTCTTGTGGGAAACTCTTGTGGGACATTCTTACGGGCACTCTTGTAGGACACTCTTGTGGGACACTCTTACAGGGGACACTCTTGTGGGACACTTACGGGACACTCTTGGCGGACACTCTTGTAGGACACTCTTGTGGGACACTCTTATAGGACACTCTTGTGGGTCACTCTTATGGGACACTCTTGTCGGACACTCTTGTGGGACACTCTTGTGAGACAGTCTTGTAGGACACTCTTGTGGGTCACTTGCAGCACAATCTTGTGGGACACTCTTGTAGGACACTCTTGTAGAAAACTCTTGTGGGACACTCTTGTGGGGCACTCTTGTGGGACACTCTTGTAGGACACTCTTGTGGGACACTCTTGTAGGACACTCTTGT